TTCCAGTATACTTATTACTTATTAATGGAGTGGATAGAAAACAGATTGCGGGAATGCAATGACATGTTTCCATTTTGATTTAGTTTGTTGTATTTTTACTTCAGGTTATCTAATCAGTTCAAATTTTATTTCATTTGAACTGGTTTTATATGCATAAGTGACTGAATAATTCACCAAGCATTATAAATGATACCTGTACCTTACCGGTAATTCAAAATTTGAACATGACAGAACGATTTAAGTCTTGCAGGTGATATGTTACATGTTTAGAATATACAAGTTTTAAGTTACTTTTCAAAATTAATTGGTAATTGTGCAAAAATATCATTCAAATCTCAATTATCTCAACACTTGGCTGATCATAATTTGAATAATTGATCACTTAGTTATGTAAGCTTCAATTAATAATGGGACTATGGATTGTACGGTATTTAGGTTAATCAAATATTTGGATTGATATTCATTAAACTGAAATGTAATATTAAAAACAGTTATTGGCTTTGTTAGTAGTGCTTACATAATTTGATGGTCAAAATAAGTAATATTTTTATGATTATATACTGATTCATTTTGGGTTGTATTATGTGCTTCTATTATAGATGCACTTTTAATAAAATAATTATGGTATGTAACTATGGTATGTAAACTAGCAAAAAAAACTATTGTTTTTTGTAATATGCATTGTTAAATCTTGGAATATGCAAAATTAAATTTTGCATTTATCTCTTCAATAACAGTCCAAACAATTACAAATACAAACTTGAAATAAATTCAGCACTAACTTTTTCCATTATATTGAATATAGTTATGTACATTTTGTACAAATGTTTAATTGAAAGAAACTTTTTTTACATTATTTCAAGAGGTATTTAAGGTTATTGGCAACCATTCAACATATTAAATGAAAGCAGAAAAGTTATCAGATTTTGTTCAATTAGGCACACCTTTTGGAGTATGGAATATTTTGGAAAAATCTGTCAGCAAAAATGGGTCTATTTGGAATACCAGTCTTATAACTACATAAAAACGAAATTCTGAGATATGACGAAACATTTGTACCATAGAAACCAATGGTAAATGGCCCCCAAAAATCCTTGAGTATTTGAAAAATTTTCTGTGTGAAAAGTATTTTTTATCTGAATTTTGTGAACAACTTCATGGAGGTAGGCGCACTGGATAAATAAATTATCGATAAAATACAAATAAAGTCATGAAATACTCAATGCCGAAAATTCACCTTTTATTCTTTTATATTTCAAACAACATAGAGATTTTTTTAAACAAGAGAACAGGGGCGCAGTGCTCCACACCCTGGTAGGGAAAACCCATTCTTCCCCACTTGGTGGCGCCGCTGAATTGCAGTGCTCCCTCTTGCACTTTTTTTTCTAGAATAATCCCTGAACATAGATACTGTGTTGTTGTTGATATGGGTGTACATATCAATTTTCCATCGAGCAATAAAACTGGAAATTTTTAAGGATTTAATATTAGCATTTTTTAACCAAACATATCCACTAAATTTGGAAAATTGAAGTTATTATCACAAAATAAACAAATCTGATACACCCAAAGTACCTACATATAAAATATTCAAGCAATCAGGCTGTCTCCAATAAAAGAACAAAAATTGCATTTTTTACAAAAAAAAGAATTGTTTGAGTCTGAAATGTCATGAATAATGTTTACAGTTTGTATTTTTACACTGGTTTCTGTGGTAAAATTTCTTCTTCTTAACTCAACATGTTGAAACATTTAATTTAATGAGTTTCCAGAGTGATAATATTTTCCAATTATATACAATTGGAAGTTGTCTCCCATAATGCATTGCATATAATTATGTCCTTAATAATCATGCCTGCATAATGTGTTAGTGAAAACCACCAAGGTTTGTCATTGAAATTACTCTGGTATAGCACAACTGATTAACTATTTTGTTTCAAAATATTGTCAAGTAATGGCAAACTTTGTCTGCAGTACCGACATATTTCACACAGAAATACGGTAAATATACATGTATACAGATTGTAGAAAAGATCTGCTTGTATACAACAATATTTTAAAACATTGTATGTAATCAGTTGTTAGCTTACAACAAAGTAATCTCATTGACAAATCCTGGTGGTTTTCACTGTGCAGACCTCAGGTGAAATGTGCATTGTGCTAATATGTTATAATCTTCCACAACAGAATTTAAATGTCTTCCAGTAAAGCTGAGACTCTAAGCAATATAAAGTAAAAAATCAAAGAAACTATTCTACAAATGAAATAACATAATCACGCTTTCTAAATTGAAATATGAATAGTATACTTTGATTGGCAAACATCTTTGTCATTATAATGATGTGACATCAGAAACCAATAACAATGCAGCAATGAAATGCAAAGAGTCTTTGATCTCGCTAGCAGGTCAATATCATCTCACCCAGACCTTGTTTATACAAACTAATGAGACAAACTGGTATTCTTAGAGAATAATTGTTTGTCTGTCTGTCTGAACAAGTGTTGTTATCCAAGTAAAATAATGAACACAATTACAGAAGGATTTACAAATATCCAATACTAATAATAACAAATACAAAAATTACCATAATATTAAAATTAACCGACTGAATCCCTCAGAAACAAGGTCAAATGTTTGTTTTATAATGTTCAATTCCACCTGGTCCAATAGTTTTCGAGATATTGAAGTTTAATATCAATTAAGTATGCAAATGTGGTAGTAACTGAGACTGGCACTACATATATTTATACGACATTGAAACAATCACGTAATCTGATGGTTAAAGCTCCATGGAGGATCAACATTGCCATTAAACTCATTATCGGATAATAGATTATCTTACTAGTAAACTGAAAATTGATGGCACACTCTAATTGTGTATGTATATTAGATCTAATATAGAAACTATAAGTTATATTATCGGATGTTACTGGTTTTACCAGTAGTCTAATAAATCTTATGGACTCTGACAGACACCTTTATAAGAATTATTGTCAAGTCGTTTATGGTAGTTATTATCCGTTAATATCCAATACCAATTAATATAAATCTAATGTTTTTTTGTTAGATCTATTAAACTGCCATTGTTTAGGCCAGACTTTTATTATTCCTTGTTTCACGAACCCGCCAAATGAACAGGAGCCGAAAATGAAATAAAAATAAAATTTTATTTCAGCGTAATTTCTCGCGCCCGCCGACTTGTAAGCGCAAAAAATTGCTAAAAAAATATTATTTTTATCTTCATTTTTTTAACGCCCGCTGCATACCAAATCCAAGTTGCATTTTTGTGGGAGTATCATGATCAAAGTACCGAAGTCTGGCACAGATGAGAAACAAGGTTATACATGGAATAAAATGTTATTTCATTTCTTCTCTCAGATCAATGATCTCACTTACAATTCTTTGAGAATCACACAAATCTAGCGGGAAAAAAAGAATTAATTTTATTTTTTTTCCCGCTCCCTCAAAAAAATTGCCTTATAAAACTAAAAAAACAAGGAATAAAAAAAGTCTGGCCTTATTTGGAAAATGGCTCTAATAATACCCTCTAACTGATGTAAAAAAAAATATCTGCCCTGGGCGACTTGAAAATATCACAAAAATCACAAAATTCTCTATTAGATCTAAAAAGAACGAATTAGCGACGAATTGATTAACTAGTAGTAGATATATATTTGACGAGTTCATTAGGCTGGATTATCCATATAATATTATCCGATAACGGTAAAACGTACATATTCGCGACGTGACTTTTTCTCAGGCTCACTTAGAACTTCAATAATATATATTCAATAACACACAGAACGATATTGAGCCAGTAAATGTGAGTTCTGTTTGTTCTGGTGAATATGCTCAAAGCTAAAATTGATCTGCAATCTTTGAACCGAATTTCCCTTTAAAAGATTTTTTTTTAAATGCAGCGGGAGACAATACGCAAAAATGATTCAATCAAACGACCTATTTAAACTGTTTCGATGGCTTATTTGCGTATATATATTGCAACATGTTTGGATATCAGATGCAATCAAAATATGCTTTAATGATAATTTGTCGTTTTCATTTACTGTGTTTTCTGTTTACTGTGCATGCAGTTATAATAAGTCAGCAAGTTTGTGCTACAATGGTATAGGGTGGTTAGGGTAAATTTAAAAAAAAATGTAGATCTGAATCTATAATGTATTAAATGATAACGTATATGTATTGCGGTACTCCCATGGTGCATCACACTTATGTTGATAACACTTGGTAATCATAATACACATACAATGTAGAAAATTAAAACTCTCTGTGTATTAAAACTAACAACAACTTCAGTATACACTGATTATAGAAATCGTAAGTATAGCCGAACCTCACGTGGCTTAGTGTAGTCGATTGCCAGCTCAGCATGTTGGATGCGTTACGCCCTCTATTGGTAAATGTTCTTTTTACTTGTCCAGCCTTTCATCGTACTCCTGGAATTCCGTCCAATTCAGCGACAATGCAAAATAGGTCATACAGGGTAAACGAACGAATTGTCAAGTATGTTTATGCATCAAATTTAAAGACATTTTTTTCTGTTTATTGCATGAGAAAAAAACAAACAATCATTTTTTCTGTATTTGCATTAATGTTTTGAAATGAAGAAAATGTACTGGTCTCTACGTCCGTTGTGTTGGAAACAAGACTCAATCTAAGAAATGAAAACTGTGATAACAAAACTGTTAACAATAATATACATAATCGATTGGAACTAACACTGAATATTCGATATTCAACAATGTATTGTGTTTGAAATATCATTTTCAACATAACGTTGATTCGCGTTATTTGTAAGCCGCTTTCCTTCATTTGTATGTCACTATGGTACATGTAAAAGAGAATTATTTCTGCACAGCCAGAATCAATATGAGAGAGTACACATGTGAGACGTCGAAACAAAACAAATACGCTATGATTCACGTCAGTTAGGGTATGGAATTAACCGACATATACGAGAACATGACTAAAATATGAATAAATGCTAAGTTCGACATGAAGATTATAATATTCAATAACTATGATGATTGACTTGTATTTTATAACTATCGTTATTTGACCAGTTTTATTTTGTCTGCTGTACACTTTGTATCTTCGTTTACCTGGCAAGTTGGTTCGGGCATTTGCTCACTTCATGAAATTGTCACGGTGGTCGCATGTATACGTTGATACTCAGACAACTAATACAACAGACTGGCAACGCCCATTGTTTAAGGTGTTAATCAGCTTAGTTGTATATGCTACGTGTGCCACGCTCAGTGGTATTGACGTAGACACCGTCGAAGTTTACCGAACACAGGATATTCTGCACACTTCGCGGCGCTTCTTCGGAAATTACGTATTTCTTCGTAAAACGAATCTAGACATTTTCAAAACAACGGGAGATGCGTTCTGAACATTTTGACCTTTGCAGCTGTGTAAGAATTTTATGAATCGACCAACATTTAGGCGAGTTACAAGTAACTGAATGTCTTAATATATACCTAATTAGTTCTCTGAGGTTGATTCCCATGATTAAACATGTGATTCGTGATGCATGACAGTTTGTTGTAACATGAGTTTTCACTTACTGGTACGTATTAATGCTTCAATGCGCATGCGTGTTTGCGAAGGTTATTATTGTATACACTTTGTATAGAAAACGCATTGAACGCGGCGCGTCGCAACGACCACCGACCTTTCAACATAATTACTCTTCAATAATGGATTGCTTAAAAAATAACAATATTAAAGTTAGGAATTTGTTTACTGCGTGTGATCAAAGACACTAGAAAAAGTCTTTGGTGTGATCTACATTCCCAGTACCGTATGCATAATTTCTTGATTTTTTGTATTTGTACTTTTTAAACATTGCAAAACTGACAATTTTTTTTTATTGAAATTTCAAAGATACAAAACAACTGATTGGCAATTTATGCTGTATTATTATATACACGTTGTATTACGAAATAAAAAAAACAAAAAAAAAACATTGCAACACGACTAGTGTGGTTTGGATAAGTTTTGCTTTGAACAAATCAAATGACACTTATCAAAATAAACTATTCGTTGTAAGTTTATCGGTTTGTAAACATACATTGTGAAAATAATCAACATGCTAAGCCAATCACAAATCGCCAAGTTGGCATCGTCTGCAAATCTTGAGTTTGTAAATTCATTTCTCCAACGTCATATTACCACATACCCTATTTAGTCAAATTACCCAGCATTCCTATTAGTCGATTCTAGCGATTTCGAACGATATTTTGTGACATTTATTTGGGAAAACATATTCCGACCAGTTTCAGGTAACTTTGCAGATCATTGGAAATATTTGACTCTGTTAGTACCGGTTTCAGACAAGTTATCGTTTGTTTTAATATCGAGTGTACCAAAGGGCGGAGCTCTCCTCAACACATCTGGGAACGAAGTCATTTAACTCCTGTGCGAGAATCGAATATGGCGTCGCCGGTGTGTAGTCGAATAGCAGTCATCGTATTATTTTTGGCCTTCATAGTTATCGACTCCGGAGCCGAGCTTCCCTTGAAGCGTTTTGAATATAAGTTTAGTTTTAAGGGACCTCATATGGCACAGAAAGATGGTAGTGTGCCATTCTTTGAATTTGGCGGAAGTGAGTATTGTTTTTTTATTGTGATCGCTCTCTCCTCCATTGTCCAGCGTATATTCGATCGATCGCTGATTTAAACGTGATTCAAACTGAAAAATTATCTGTTTTACTACTACCAACAGGCGCCTTAGCCAGTGAAGATCAGATTCGTGTCACACCATCACTGAGAAGCAAAAGAGGTAAGTGTTCTGGGTGCCATATGTTACGTGTTCCCCACTTCACGGGGGAGAGGTTATTTTAGCTATCACTTCTAAACATCTTAGAAATAAATGTCGCCTCTTAGCTGAGTGTGTCATCAACCGTGTTATGTCTTTTTGCTTATCACGAAATCGGACCTTTTTTTTTATTCTGACTGCACACGCAACACGTCGGGTGTGTATTGTATATGTACAGCTGTAGTGCGTAACCTAATAATATAGGGTACACGTGGAACTGAGCAGGGACTATGATGTGTTATCTATTCTAACACCACCTCTGAACCCGCATGTGTTATCATACAATGACGAATAAAATACATTGTCTTTAATTTAATTTGAAATATTTCGTGATCTTTTTAAAAAAAAAAAACTACCAGTTTGTCAATATAATATATAATAAACTATTATTTAAAAAAAAGGCACCATAATATTTAAAATAAAATTATTTATATTTGTATTTTATCATTATTTAAAAAATAAAATTGCCTCGCTGAATATAAATTATACACTGAGAAATGATGATGACAATTAGAACACTGTTACTGGAACTTGCAGAAATGGGAATACATTATTAATAATACACAATATTGTCATTGACACAGCAAGCATTATGTGGGCTACTCTGAATATGTTATTATACCTCGTTTCCTATCCTTTGTGTCACTGCATCTGACTAGCCTTCAGCTAAGCTCTAATATGGACTGGATTAAGTAAGATATTAAACTCTTATGACACAAAGTCTCTTAAAATACAAGTTACAAATATAAATATTGTCATATGTTAATTATCAGAGAATTATAATATTTGTTGGTCAATTACCGAATATCTTAATAAATATGAAAAGCACATCGTATTTGTCATTATAATTAACAGTCATGGTTATTATTTTATGTGTGATATAATAGAAATATATGCCTATTGGTTATGCTGACACCTGTTATATTTTCCCTTCCCACCTGTTATCTATATTGATTACCACACACACATGCATTGATTGCCATTTTTTATTCTCATTCATTATTGCTTTATCCTGTATAGGGCTTAATTATTCGCTGTGTTTTATTGTCATTTGTTTCACTGATTTAAAACTCAGAGAATATGTACAATAAACAACAGAATGTCTGCTTCACAAAGCAATGAATTTAAAACCTAGTGTATGTTCCTGAAACATCAAATACACAAAAATACACCCAGGGAATATTTTTCCCTCTACAGTGCACTATGCACAGTATATTGTTTATACATATATCCACATTGTAATTGCAATTTTAGAAACCATCTGTGATACAAAAAATTAATCCATCTGTGTTAGTGTCCATTGAGTATTCTGAAGATTATCAATTTATTCGATAGCCACATGCTCAGTTCAACCAGCCGCCAAAATATACTTTATTATATTACACAACAGTAAATAAATTACCATCTGAATTACCCCCAGTGAATAAACCATTTCAGTGCTTAAGAATAATTTTTTAAGCAGCTATGAATATTAAACGGTTTCTTTATGAGAGGCCATTTTTTATGCAATTCAAAATTACAATTTTGATCTCATTGATCCAAGCAAGCAATCAAATCATGCTAAGATTGGTAGCATGTCGCTTTGTGTGTTGCAGCATTATTAGTGTATCATTTAAAAACATTTATATTTGATATTTAATATGTACATGGATGCATTGTAGTTATTATTCAGTTATTGTTTGGTGAATGTAGCATGGAAAAGGAAAATTACTTTTTTCATGTGACAGTATGCGTATCTTAATGCTATTATAGCAATGTTGATGGTTGATGTCAGATTCAGTTTACTTTTAATTATATTAAATATACAGGTACCATGTACCAGTAGAATATACCCATCAGATAATCAAATATTTTGCTACAATGCTTGGGTAATAAAGTGATAAAACAATATTTGATTTTGTTACATATCCTGATTTTTTTTAGAATTGTCAGACAATTTGCCTAATGTACAAATGTAGTTAGTAACCTAAAAAAATTAGTCAAATTAACATTTTGTGTTGCATCATAACATTTTGTACTTTATAAGTATTACAAAAGGATTACAAAATTGACATTATTTTTTATTATGTTTAATGAAGAAATGTTTTCATTGTGGGCTATGGAAGTGCTGCTAAATTGTAATTTTATGCATGTATTTCAGCAGTTTTTCTTAAAAAAAACCCTGATAGATGATGAAATCACATAGTGTTCACTAATATACTAAAAGAATTACTTAATTATAGACATATTTGACACAATCTATTGTGACTGCTATATTTGCTAAAATCGCACACCGAATGTGTCATAAAAACTGATTCCTTCTGAGAAATGTAAATAAATGAATGTGAAAAATATATAAATTAAATATAAGCTTTGTGATTACATGTACATTTATTCATTCATCTTGCCCTAAACACAATTAGTCTGTATCTAAGTGTACTGTGTTTCTGACGTTGTTCAATATATTGACGTCAAGGTTTGTGTGCCACCTACACATTATGTGAAGTGTAGTTAAAGAGGGTTTAACAAGGTTTTGGTTTTATATGCGCATATTTTATCAATTCTAGCTGATAATATGTAATGTCAAAATAGTTATAATAATGTGTTCCTGTATTATTCAAAACTTTATAAAAATAGCAACATGAACAAGTTGTCATTAGTTTAAATGCAGGTGACAGTTCACTGTTTTTTCTAATTTTTTTTTTAACCATGTGATATAATATGTAACTTTCATACTATTTGAGATACTGAGGTTTGTACTTAATATAAAAAACATGGCTTATGTCCTAAAAACAACAAAAACTTGTTTTTTTTTTATTTAACTATTATATATCCATCCTCAGAGACAATCTGTATAGCATCTAGTGACTCTAAATATTTATTTACATATTTTTATCCTTTTAACATGAAATGAACTTATGAATAAACAAAATTACATATTTTTATATTTTGAGCAGTGCAATAGAACACATCATGCTTATTCCTCAACAACCTAGGCCAGCTTCCCTTAATATCTATTTACAGTAATATGTATAACTATAATATATCACAATACTATATACTAAATATAAATAAGCAGTGATATATACATGTATTTATTATTCACCATACATGTATAATACATTGTACAATGACAATTATATAGCTGGGTCCATATACATTATGTACTGTCTGTGATGAATCCATCTTTGTTTGAGGATAAAAGATAACTAAACTGTTACCATGGTAACTATTTTGTGCCTGGAACTGGACTTGTTCACTAATAATAATGACATGAATATTTATTGATTTGAATGACAATTCAATGTGCACGTTTTCTACAGCTGGCACAATACATACTATTTTCATCAACACTGGTGACAAATACATGTAGCTTGTGCCATGTAAGGACCTCACCTCACTAATTTGTGACGGGTGTCTTGCTTTCCACCTCTAGACGATGTGAAATGTTGCTATTGCGCGAGGACATGCTGGCATGAGACTGAGAGGCAGTTACCTAAGAGTTGTGCGAGTCAAGGGCAGTATCTTAGAATAGCAAAAGTAGTGCAGAATTTGTTAAAGGGCTAAGAGATTCATATTACCAAATTTGCTCTTTTAGAGCATGGAGGTATAAGTACCTCAATGTTTAGAGGCACACCTCAAATAGAAGTACCCACTGTGAAAAGGGGAAAATATGCACTGCATTTAATTGGATTTTAGGTTGCAGATTAGTTACTTGGTTTTAAATTCACTGGAGAAAACAATACATTTTATTGTTAAATTTTAATATTCACTGAGTTTTAATTTCATGCATTCAGCTGTCATTTAACTGTATCAGCCAAAAAATCATATTTGTTGTATAGTGAATCATTAAAATAATATTTATTCTGACCACAAACGTCTGCTACTAGTATATACATGAGCACATGCACTACGAATAAAACGAATATGCTAATGTATTTTATAAATTACCTTAGTTTGTGATAGCAAAATAAGGATGTGAAAATACGTAAGATGTCATGTAACATGCCGTATATTTATAATAGCATGCAAATATGTAGAAATAAATTTTACAGCTGTCTATCTGTGTTCTGCTGTGCTCAGTGTGAAAACCATTTTACCCTCCATGTGTACACTCGTTTGGTTCCAAAATGGTTCATTTGATGGTAGTTTTAAGTATTCTAGTTAGATAATTATTTAAATATTAACAATACTTTGTCAGTTTTTCCAGTGCATCTATTCTGTGTTTATTGGCTTCCTACAGGTGGTTGCAATCTCTGTTTGTTCTGTTTAAAACAACATACGGCATAATTTTCTTATATCTACAAAACTGACCTGTTTTGTTTAATAGGAATTATAATAAATTATCATTATAATAAATCAGTTTATTGCAGAGATTCAGACTCTAGCTACATGTGTGTCTACTGGAATCAGTGAGTGTTAGTATTGATTGCTTGTGATGATGGATTATAACTTTGACATATCATCTGCCAAAATGAATGAAAAAAAGTGTTGTCTGCAGGCAATGTGTTAATACAGCTGTTGTCATGTGATGTACAGACAAATGCCATTCTAGGAAAGTAAATAGTGTTTCAGTCTGGTACAAAGAATTTTATACCCATATAAAACAGACTACTTTTAAATTATCAGTGTTATACTCGTGTTTTAGTGCTTTATGTATCTTTAAAAATTGACTGATGTCTTTATCCTTGACTTTTAGAAATGTACATTTATAAAGCAGTTAATTCGGCATGAGATTGAAAAAATGCCATGTTTCTATTTTACCATGTGAAAAAAATAATGGTGTCTATAATGCCTGAGGGCAAAGTACAATGTTACGCTCTTATTTATACAAAATTTATGCAAATATCAATTTAAATATAAATACATTATTATTGTAGAATTGAATGTATACATTATTGTGTGCTTTGTTATGTTATTTATTTATGCCTTGGGATATAATGTGTACCCTTCAGAATAATCTCTCCCCATCTCTACCATAATGC